GCTCAGCAGCGAGGACCTTGCAGTCATCAAGGTGAAGGTGAAGCTGGCTGAGGAAGAGGACTTGGAGATCTTAATAGGGTCAGTCTACATGCCCTATGACTCCACGGAACCACCACCACAAGAGGAGGTAAAAACTCTGGTGACCTATGCGGAGNCGAGGGGACTTGAACTCCTGCTGGGTTGTGATGCAAACTCCCACCACGTAGGGTGGGGAAGCTCAAATATCAACCCGCGGGGGGAGAGTCTGCACGACTTCTTGATGGGTACAAGATTATTTATCCTCAACAGAGGAAATAAGCCAACATTCCTGGACTCTAGAAGACAGGAAGTTATTGACATTACAGTTTGTACGGAGAAGGTGACGAGTCTGGTGAGGGACTGGAGGGTTTCGAATGAACCCTCCGGCTCTGATCACAGACACATACGCCTAACTCTCCAGCAACCACCACAAATTAGCTGGATTCGTAACCCACAAAAAACTGACTGGGAAGGCTATAGGGCCGACCTTAAAGCACAGCTTGTTGAGGCCCCAACCAGTTTTAAGACCAAAAACAATTTGGAAAACGCGGCGGACTTTTTAAAGAACGCCATTACGAATGCCTATGAATTAAACTGCTCGCCGAGACCCAGGAACCCGGTGACCAAGATCCACTGGTGGAACAAAGGGCTTGAAAAGCTCAGGTCGGAAACGAGAAAGAGATTCAACAAAGCAAAAAGAACCGGACTTGCTGTGCACTGGGAAGCTTTTAGATCCTCCCAAAAAGATTACAGCAAGGCAATAAAGAAAGCAAAATTTGAAAGCTGGAGATGCTTCTGTGAAAACATTGAGAGTGCCCCGGAGGCATCCAGGCTTTACAGAATCCTCAGCCTAGATCACCGTCCCCAATTGGGCTGTCTTAAGCTCCCAACGGGAAAAGTCACCGAGGGGACATCGGACACATTAAAACATTTAATAGAAGTCCATTTCCCAGGTTTTGATCATAACATACAACCCGGCAGGTCAAAGCCCAGAGAATACAAACCCAGAGAGTGGGGCCTGGCGGCCGAGATTGTTTATCCAAAGGGGGTTGAATGGGCTGTTAAGACCTTCAACCCATATAAATCACCTGGATCGGATGGTATCTACCCGGCCCTTCTTTAGGAGGGACTGGGGGTACTAATCGGTCCACTTACTAAAATCTTCAGAGCTAGTCTAGCCCTGAGACATGTTCCCCAGGCTTGGAGTGGTACAAGAGTGGTTTTTATCCCCAAGCCTGGCAAAAATGGTTACATTTCAGCCAAAGACTTCAGACCGATCAGCCTCACCTCCTTCGTACTTAAGACATTGGAGAGGCTGGTCGATAGATTTCTAAAGAACAAACCTTTGCTGTTACATCCTCT